AGTGGAGCAGACGTTCAGTGTGTGTGTGTGTGTGTGTGTTTATACCGGACTTAAGTATTTGATAAGTATTAATATATTAACCAGTACTTCTCAGAGGTGGGGGGGGGGGCTGTGTACATGGTGTGTACATGGTGTGTACATGGTGTGTACATTTCCTGACTTCCTGTCGTCCACTTTCTAAGACTTTATTGTATTTTCTGCAACTTTGACAAATATTTATTTTACCCCCCCGACCTCCAACCCCCGACCCCCCCTCCACCTGTACTGATGGAGACCCATGTTGACTGAACCTGGTGGTACTACAGTATCCTCAGCACTGTACCACAGTACTGCAGTACTGCTCCTGTCAGGAACACAATGTGTAAATAAACTGTTGATATTTTTGTTTGTCGAAAAAAAAAAGATGTGTAAATTTTTAACCGTTTCTAGAAAAAAACAAAAAAAAGAAAAACTAAATTTAAAAGCATCACAGAGTCACTTAGACATCAAGGTGCCATGACAGGGTGGGGGGGTGGGGGGGGGACGAACATCTGCAATCTATGCAAAGCAGCACATGGTACCACAACGAGAAGTCCACACGGAGGAAGTACTTAAAACGTGTCATACTGGTACATGCTAATACTGGTACATGCTATTACTGCTTGGTGCTAATAATGGTACATGCTAATACTGGTATGTGGTAATACTGGTACATGCTATCATGTACGTGCTAATACTGGTACATGCTATTACTAGTATGTGCTAATACTGGTACATGCTAATACTGGTATGTGCTAATTCTAGTACATGCTAATACTTGTATGTGCTTACACTGGTACATGCTTATACTGGCACGTGGTAATACTGGTACATGCTAATACTGTCACAAGCTAATATTGGTACATGCTAATACTGGTACATGGTAATACTGCTACGTGCTAATACTGGTACATGCTTATACTGGTATGTGGTATTACTGGTACATGCTAATACTGGTACATGCAAATACTGGTACATGCTAACACTAGTAGCACAGTAACAGGTTTTCAAACGTAATAATGAACCGTTTTCTACCACAGACTGATGTTTTCCCCCAAAGTACAAATATATATATAAATATATTTTGGGGACAGAAATACTTCCTCTCCGTGTGGACGTGTCGTCGTTGTGCGTGTTGTTTTTCTTAGACTGTTAAAAAAAAAAACGTAGAGTTTCCTAGTCCTGAGACATTCATGGTTTAAAATGTACGGAATAAAGTTTGGAGCTTATCCCTCGCTGTTTGAACTTTGACCTTTGTTCTTCATCAGGCCAGAACGGCCTCAGCCATTGGCCACTGGGCCGTGATGTCACACGCCAGACCGACGTCTAATGGGGCATTGATTTTTGTATGAGAGCAGGTTTTGAATGTTTGTGTTGCAGGTAACTGGTATCGACTGGGAGACCAGCGACATGATGACACATGGTCTGGACCATTAAGAGGAGCGTGGCCTCCCGGGGGGGCGGCGGGGGTATCGAACGGTGGAGACACACACACACAGACCCTCAGCCTGTAATAATAATAATGGTGTGGATCAACCCGTGGTCACGTCATTGAGGGGACGTTAGCGGAAATCAATGTCACTTTGTCTACCCCCCGGACCCCCGGCCCCCGGAGGAGTTTCTGTGAAAAGTCGTCAGAGAAGGAAGACTTGAATCACCGTCTCCTTCAGTTCAGACCTGGGTAATTGAACCTCCGACACGAGGCAACGGTCGGCGGCCCGCTCTGCTCCGCTGCTTTTGCACCGAATCGTCCGGTCGTTCTGGGGGATTTTACCCCGACTGTTAGTGCCTGGTGTTTTTCTTTTAACTGTCATTTACCTGTACCAGGGGGTCTTCATGGAGGGGGGGTCAGGGTGGGGGTATTAAGTCAGGGTGGGGGTATTAATTCTGCTCATTCCAGTCCAGACAACACAGAGACCGCCTGGTCCAACACTGTCACTGATTTCAGCTCTCGTCTCACCGAGTCATGATTCGTGGTAAGGACAAGTGCGACCCCTGGCGGCCGAGTTGGCCTGGCGCAGCCTCAGTAGACGTCCTGTAGAGATCACCTCGTACCTGAGTATTGTTTTACTGAGTATTCACGTTCAGTCAGAAGAACGGAAGTGACGTCAGAGAGTACAGTGAAATCACCTTTGTGACATCTATTTTATTTTATATATGTATATATTCATATGTATGTGTATATGCTGTATTTATTTACACACGGTATATAACATCGACCTGCAGTACCTCAGCGATCCAGTAGGGGTCGTGAACCCTCTTGACGATGTACTTTATGTGAGGAGAAAAGAACGTTTCATGGAAGGTGCTGTTAACGGTGTTCACAGCTGCTGACGTCACAGCTGAAGCCGCTGCAGATGACGCAGGTGAGACTCTGGCGTGTGATTGGCTGAAGTGAGTGGAACGTTAGTTCGGTGAAAATCCACACATGCACTTTGTGGTTACATTTTATTCTGTGTCTTCTAGTACTTCCGTGTATACTGGTACAGTGAAAGACTGACCCCTGCTGGTGAAATGAGAACTCACAGTCCACCGTGAAGCCGTCCAGACCACGATCATAATTCCGTGAAATATTTATATAAGTCTGTCGGAACGGGACACCAGTGTTTTTTTAAATGCCGCCAGAACCCCCCCCCCTTCATCCCTCCCCCACCCTCTCTCCCCCTCTGTATGCTTTACTGTGGAGGTGATTAACGTAGTGAAGACGTGACGTGTTCATAAACCCTGTAATCTGGGCTCAGCTGATGACCGAGGGAGGGGGGGCCTGTGGGGGGGGGTGTACATTACCTACGTCACCATCTTGTTTTTTTTCTCTGTTGACGTCACCACAAAGATATTCAGCAAGCAGGACCAAATACATCCAGTAGGTGGCAGTGATGCATCACAGGCTAACTTAGCCTTGGTATCGGCTCACGTTAAATAATTGCGCAACACATACTAGCACAATGCTAACACCTGCTACGGACTAGGTGTAGTTAATTTTTTGGTGAACGTTCTGACCCGAGTATGTACAATACCAGGCTTGTAATTAAAGTCTCAATCAGCGCCACCTACAGGCCAGGGAACAGAAAGTTGCCCTCTCTTTTAATGGACGGTTCTGAACCGACCTCTGCCTCACGTCTGCAGTTTATTTGTTGTGTTTTAATATACCCCACCCCCCCCCTCCCCCTTTAGTTT